CACGCACCACCATGCCCAGCTAATTTTTTGTATTTTTAGTAGAGACGGGGTTTCACCATGTTGACCAGGATGGTCTCGATCTCTTGACCTCGTGATCCACCCGCCTCGGCCTCCCACAGTGCTGGGATTACAGGCTTGAGCCACCGCGACCGGCCCATTTTTTCCTTTTTTTAGATCTATGTATGTAGAGGGCTCTGATTTGCAATATTTGGGAAGTTCTTCTAAGCTGGAAAGAAAAGTCAAGACAAAGAATCATGGCCAATAGGTGGGGAATAAGTTACACCCCCTTAAATAAGTCACACTCACCTAGGCAAGGAAAGATCTCATAACCCACCTTCTAAACTGCTTCCCTTTCTCCCCAAAGTTCATTAATTTAGAAGCGGTCACTACGATGGCTTGAACGCCCCTTCCCAACTCTGTACCACAAAATGAGCTCTTGTGTAGCCCCGCTCCTCCCTCTCAGCACCTCAGACCCAAAAATGGAGACATTAGTTGCTTACTTTTCCAGCTACTTCTTAAGCTAGGCAGGCCATGAAGAAATAACGGTCTCAAAAACCGCCATGCTCGAGACTCGACTCACAGAGAGGCATTGGTAGGTGCGTGGAATGAGGACGCATATCTCCCAGCTGCAGTTGGGGGCTGACCCACAATCCCTTGCGAGGGCGGGAAAAGCGAGGGGGTCAGGAAAGGGGGACGGTCAGCGAGAAGAGCCAAGAGACTGCAACTCTACAATGCGAACACAGATTAATCCTAATATGATTGTTCCCTGAGCTTTTCACACCAAAAAAATGGTAACTGGCCAGTGTGTGTTCGTTACTCTCAATGCTCCCACTCAAGATCATTCCCATTAATGACTGCGGCTTCACATAACAGGCCACAGTGGAGGCAAGGAAATGTGGCGTGGAAAACCCACTGGGCCTGGCTCTCTATGCTAAGGTCTCCGTCATTGTTTTACAGTCAGGGTGTACATTTGATAGAGAATCTCTTTTTATTTATTTATTATTATTATTTTTGACAAATAGTCTTGCTCTGTCGCCAGGCTGGAATGCAGTGGCGCGATCTCCGCTCACTTCAGCCTGCGCCTCCCAGGTTCAAGCGATTCCTCTGCTTCAGCCTCCCGAGTAGCTGGGACTACAGGCGTGCGCCACCACGCCCGGCTAGTTTTTTGTATTTTAGTAGAGACAAGGTTTCAGCATGTTGACCAAGATGGTCTCAATCTTCTGACCTCGTGAAACACCGCGTCGGCCTCCCAAAGTGCTGGGATTACATAGGCATGAGTCACCGGACCCGGCCTGGGGAATCTGTAAATGGGATTTTGGGGAATTATAACGGAATGGTGCCTAAGTGTGAAAATATACAAGCCTGCACAGAGCTGCAAGGCTCACGGCCGCGTGGCCAGCCCCTTCCGCTTTACGTCTGATGTCACGGCGTACGCGCCGGCGGGGGCGGGCGGAGCTTGGCTGCTCCGTGGTTAGCGGCTGAACCTGTGCGACTGCGCGGGAAGACGTTCCGCTTTGAAATGCAGCGGGATTTGCTCAGTTTCCCGCTGTCTCCAGCGGTGCGGGCGAAGTTGGTGTCTGCGGGTTTCCAGACTGCTGAGGAACTCCTGGAGGTGAAACCCTCCGAGCTTAGCAAAGGTAAGGATTCCTGATGGCAAGCTGAGGCACACCGGCCGCCGTCCGTGCTGCCGCAGTCTTCGTTCTCCCGCCTTGGGCTTCAGCCCAGTCTCCGTCAGATTCTGCTGCCTCGGCCGCGTTTACAACGTGAAACTGCTCCTTGGCTCCACTTACAAGTTGTCTGAATGGTTAGGAGAACTGTGGTCGTGAAAACATTTACTAACTCCTTTTTCTCTGGCAATGCCTGCTGAATGTTTTGAGGATTGTCTCATTTAACGCTGAAATAACCTGCTTAGGTCGATTATTATGTTCAGTATATGGATGAGAGAGAGAACTTATATCTTGGGGAGGTCAGGTAACTTTTCATGATAACTGGGTTAGGAAATAGTGGAGTCACAATTGGTTGTCTAATTTTTGCTGTTCCAAGATCCAAGGGGTAAGGGTTACATTTCAGAAATGCAGGATTTGTGTAGGACTGGAGACACTAAGAATGAGAAAGGGAGTAGAATCCCTGGAATCTTAAGGAAGCAATAGAAAGGATATTCTCCTCTTACGTAATTCATCAAAACACCCAAAACCTCATATTCCAGAGCACTGCAGATTATACATTGGTGGGAACCACTGCATCCTGAGGTATACAAATATGAAGCTGGCGGTGGTCACGCTTTGTGCACATTATGCTGTGATATGCTCAGACCTGTGCTATTCATTATTGCCCTTAATGATGGAAAATACGGAGGTTTCAATTCGCCTCTAAAGAATGGCTTGGCCGGGTGCGGTGGCTCACGCCTGTAATCCCAGCACTTTGGGAGGCCGAGGTGGGCGGATCACAAGGTCAGGAGTTCGAGAGCAGCCTGGTCAATATGGTGAAACCAGCTTCTCTATTAAAAATACGAAAATTAGCTGGGTGTGGTGGCAGGCGCCTGTAGTCCCAGCTGCTTGGGAGGCTGAGGCAGGAGAATCGCTTGAAAGCGGGAAGTGGAGGTTGCAGTGAGCCGAGATTGCGCCACTCTTCTCCAGCCTGGACAACAGCGAGACTCTTGTCTCAAAAAACAAGAAAAAAAAAAAAGTCTTGTAGACCCACCCTTAACTGTTTAAGTCATACCGCACGCAGACTGTGTCCCCCAAAATTTGATGGACTCCTTTTTCTTCAACAAGTTGGTTTTTCAAAGAAGAAATGTGAGACTCTGAATAATAATAATCACTAACAACTATTGACGATTTTAGATGGCCTTGATATTCTACCAAGCTTTTTACATGTACTGTCTCATTCCTGTTTTGTTTTGTTTTGTTTATGAAAGAAAGAAAGAGAAAGGGGGAGAGAGAACAGGAGTCTTGCTCTATTGCCCAGGCTGGAATGCAATCTAAAAATAGGTATTAAAAACCTCTTTTATGCTGATAATTGTACTTAACGGCGGAGACAGGAAGGAATAAGGGAAGAAAATAACAAACAGCCAACCAATATTTCATTTAAATCTGTGAAATGCTGTGCAAATGCTGAAGAGTGATTTAATTCCTTTTATGTGGTCACTTTCAAAATAGGTGTAATGTGATACTGAAAAAAATGTATGTTCTGTGGACCTGGGGTGAAGAATTCTATAAATATTCACTGAGTTTACTTGTTCCAGGGCTGAGTTGAAATCATAAATGTCCCTGTTAATTTTCTATCTGGTTGATCTGTCGAATATTAACAATGTGGTGTCAGAGTCTCCCACTATTATTGTGCGGGAGTCCAAGTCTCTTTGTAAGTCATTAAGACCTTGTCTTATGTATCTGGGTGCTCCTATATTGGCGGCATATATATTTATGATCATTGACTCCTGTTGTTACATTGATCCTTTTACCATTATGTAATGTCCTTTGTTTCTTTTAGTCTTTGTTACTATTAAAGTCTATTTTGTCAGAGAGGAAAGTTACAACTCCTGTTTTTTTGTTGTTTTTTTTGTTGTTTTTTTCTCTCCATTTGATTGGTGTGTCCTTGCTTATGAGATGGATCTGGATACAGTGTACTGATGGGTTTTGACTTTTTATTGAGTTTGTTGACTTTTTATTCAATTTGCGTGTCTGTGTCTTTGGGGCGTTTAATCCATTTAAATTTAGGATTAATATTGATATTTGTGAGTTTAATATTGTCATTTAATGCTAGCTGGCTATTTCACCCATTAGTTGATATAGATTTTTCATTATGAAGATACTCTTTACCTTTTGGTAAGTTTTTGGGATGACTGTGATACTGGTTGTTCCTTTCTGTGTGTAGTGGTTCTTTCAGAAGCTCTTGTAAAGCAGGCCTGGTGGTGATGAAATCTCTGAGTGCTTGTTTGTTCGTGAAAAATTTTATTTTTCCTTCATTTATGAAGCTTAGTTTGGCTGGATATGAGATTCTGGGTTGAAAATTCTTTTCTTTGAGGATATTGAATATTGACCCCCACTCTCTTCTAGTTTGTAGGGTTTCTGCTGAGAGATCTGCTGTGAGTCTGATAGGTTTCCCTTTATAGGTAACCTGACCTTTCTCTCTAGCTGCCCTTAGAATTTTCTCCTTTATTTCAACCCTGGTGAATCTAACAATTATGTGTCTTGCGGTTGCTCTTCTTGAGGAATATCTTTGTGATGTTCTCTGTATTACCTGAAGTTGAGTATTGTCCTGCCTTACTAGGTTAGGAAAGTTTTCCTGAATAATATTCTCAAGAATATTTTCCAGTTTGGATTCATTCTCTTCATGACATTCAGGTACACCTATCAAACGTAAATTAGGTCTTTTCACATAGTCCCATATTTCTTGGAGACTCTGCTCATTCCTTTTTACTTTTTCTTCTCTAATCTTGTCTTCTCGTTTCATTTCATTAAGTTGGTCTTCAACCT